AATTTTATTTGCTTCTCAGTGTCATAAACTACTGACTGTATGATGTAAATAATGACATCAAGTGATCTGTCTCTAACGGTTTTAGTTCAATCTATCACAAAACAGGTATGGGTATAAAAAGCAACTGTAGGGAGAGAAATGGTTCAAGTGGTCCTTTAGCACAGAAAGCAAATGTAGACAATGCTATCTAGAGGATATTTAATTTCTCACATGCCCATTTCTCAGCCTGAGCTCCTGCCTGGACATGGGATAAGCCATGGAGGGACTTCCCTGGCCCCCTCAGCGCCGACACTCTGCAGGACCTCGCTGATGAGGGGCCTCCATTCTTCAGAGCCTTTACACACATGGGGTACACTCTAAGAAACACTTAGGCATCAAGTGCCTTGCACTGACCTCCTCTGAGACTTTGCTGACTTAATTAATTGGGGAAAGCCTTTGCAAAATAAATAGAGATAAGCTCTGGCACAGCTCCAGCCCTGGAGCAGGGTGAATTGTTAACCTTGCACTCTCTCCTGCTGCCCTGTTGCTGGGACCTGCTGCAGGGCACCACCAGGGCTTGATCTGAGCTGGGATTTGGATTTGCTGCCCTGTTCAGGGGCTGCCCTGTTCAGCCTGTCTAAGGCTTCTGCAGAAAATTAAAAGAACTTCTCTCTCACAGAAGATAAAGCAGAGCCTTTAATTCAGGTTCTGAGCTGGAGAAGGTCAAGGGAGGAGCTGGCCAAGCTCAGCAGTGCCCACGTCCAGCTCTGTGACAGTGCTCAGCACGAGCCAGCTCAGTCCCACCAGGGAAGCTGTTCAGAAGGACACAGGCTCCATCACAGCTTCTTTCATGAACTCTCAGAGATACCACCAGCCCTGGTAATACATAAGCAAGTTTCAGAGGCGTCTGATGAAGTCCCCAACACAAATTCCAACTACACATCTGGTTCTGTGCGTGGCCACATCTTGACAAGGAACTGAAATGAATACTGCAGGGCTGATACAGCATTGCAGCCATGTGTGCAGTCCAGGTGAGTGTGTGTGTGCTCAGACTTCACCTAAATGCATGGGAAATGTGAATCCAGGCATCTGGTCCATGGTGCTTTGTGTGGTTTTACAGATCCAACTGAGGGAAAGCGCCTGCAGTGCAAACCCCTGTAACTGTGGCACTCCTTGGATACAACCCTGAGAGCAACCACAGCACTCAGTAACTCTCCTCTGACCCTGTGCTGCTGCAGGTGAGCTGCTCTGGGAGCCACGTGGGGCTGGGGAGCTGCTGTCAGCAGCAAAATGCCCTTCTGTTCTGTGTCAGCTCAAAGTGACACAGCCCAGCCCCAGGCTGCAGCCCTGCCACGTTTGACTGATTTTGTCTAAACGCTCCTTTCTTCAGCATCAACCTGTTTGTTCCCGTGGCAATTATCTCCCCTCCCAAAGTGTCCTCACCTCAGGAAAACTGGTCATGTTCACTATCATGAGCTGCGGTGACTTCTGTGAGATCTGCCCCAGCTGGTTCAGCGGAAACTTCCCATCTTTTGTCATCACAGTTATGTGATCCAGGGCCCCTCAAAAGAACCAAACACAGGGAGCTTCAGCGTGACAAAACACTGTGCAGTGATGCTGAAGAAAAACACGTCCACACTGCCCCACTTCCCTTCTGCCATGCAAAATGCAGAGGTTACAAAGGAAAATAAAGGGATAATTCAGAATTCAGGTGCTGTTTGTGTTCAGGCATCCCCTGTGTATTTGCAAGTTAAATATTTCAAAGCTGCTCTAAAGCACAAAAACATGAAAACAAAACTCCTGTTTGTTTTTGCTACTAGAATAGGAAAACTAAGCAGGATTGTTAAGAATTAAAGGGAAATGGTTATGTTTTAATTATTACAACTTAAAAATCAGAATGTTGCTATAAAAATCAAGACAAATATTGTCTTTAACTTAGCAGTGCTGTCTTAAACCCCTCTATTTTTTCCCAGATCCCCAGAGGGGTGTTGTACACTGCCTAATTTAAAGTATTCAGTTTCTCCCTGAGCTACTCTTAATCTCCCTGAGCTGCTCTCTATTTTCTGCTGCAAAATGTTAACAGGCCAAAAGGCACATGGGACAGGAGGTACTTTATCAGTGCAATTAAAAAAAATACCTATGGTTAAAATAAATAGTTAAGAGAATGAGCTCCATTAAAGACAGAAGTGCCCCTGCCAGAGCTGGGGTGGTGAATGATCCAAATTTGGTCATTGTTTAATGTTAAATTTTATCCCTGAAACTTGATACGCTTACCAATGCCTATGTTCAGAGTGTTATAGCAACTGCAGATTAGGCAAACACATTCACATTTCTTCTTAAAACACAGAATCCATCAATGAGTCTTGTACAGCTTCCTACCCATAAAGATGCACAGCAGAAAAAAGTTTGCATATGCCAGACACCAGCCCAATGGCAATTTCCAAAAGGATAATTTAATGGCAATTGGATTTTTCCTGCCCTACTGCACCATTAGCTGACAACCTGCTTCTTCATCACATCTGCAAACAGTTCAGTTAGACACTTTTGACATCTCCCACTTAAAAAAGCTATTTCCAGGAAGCTATTAACAAAAATGGATCCTTCCTGGTCAAGCTCAGGGTGAAGAAAGCCTCTAGCTGGGATGTTGGGGTTGTAGGATTTGGATGCCCAGTGGATAGCTCCAGAAAAAGAAAACAGATTTTGAACAAATCTGAGTTGTCCATTACTGGGATTTGTATCTTTATTTACCGGCTACAGAGCATCACACAAGGAAGTTACCAACCTGGTGAGGTTCTAACACTGAGATTTCTGCTGAAATCTTCTTTCAGAGCTTCTACGACTGCCTGCATGTCTTCATTGGTTTCCTCCAAATTGATAATATCCTCAACTAGGGCAGCACTGATATTCACTTTGGCTTGACTCTGCCCTTTACCTTTAGCTGCAGATTACACAAAAAAATTAGTTTCTATTTCTGACGAGTTAGTTAGAAAGTAGAAAGGTGATATTGAAGTCCTGGTCAAATTTAGAATCAAGTCTAAGATAAACTGAAGTAAAACCAAACTGTATTTTTAATGAGTAAAGAGCTCACCACTAGAGCACATCAACCAAAAGAAATAAATATACAAAAATGCATATAAATATTAAAAGAGAGGTTGCAAAACCGTGAGAAAAGCTGCCGTTTTTACCTTTTTTGGTAGCCAGCTGTCTGCTCAGCAGCATCTGCTGGACACACTGCCCGCAGCCCTCCAGGAGCGGGGCCGGGCAGGCTCCGGGGGCCCGGGGCAGCCCCCTGGCCATGGCAAAGGAGGAACGGAGCAGCAGGGCCGGGAGAGGACGGAGGCAGCGCAGCGCCAGAGCCATCGCTCACAGCTCCTCTCTGACCCACCTGCAGGAGAGAAAGGCAGCTGGGCTAAACCCAAACGGATTCAGGGCTTAGTGGCAGCTCTGGGGGCAAGGGGGCAGCTCCGTGCTGTGGGCACCGGGAAAATGCCATGGGAAGGGCGCCGTGGCTGCCAGCCCGTGCCCGCGGCGCCAGCGCAGCTGCTGCGCATCTGTCCGGCCTCTGCACATCTGCCCAGATGTGCCCGTGACACCAACCCAGGGCTGCTGAGCAGGAGCAGCTCGCCCCGGTACCGCACATCAGCGGCGCTGAAACTTTCTGCCTCGGCAGCTCTGACACCCCAACATTCCCAGCGTTTATTCCAGCCCGGCCCGCTCGCGGCTCCGGGGACTTCCAGCAGCGGCGGGTCGGGACTGGGGCAGCGGGGAGCGGCGCCGGCGGCCACCGGGGCAAGCGGCCCTCCCTGCGCCGGGACACTGCCCTGCCCCTGATGCACGGTCCCGGTCCCGGTCCCGGTCCCGGTCCCGGTCCCGGTCCCGGTCCCGGTCTCTATGCCGGTCTCTATCCCCATCTTGATCCCGATCCCTGTCCCGATGCCCATCCCGGTCCCGGTCCCGATCCCGGTCTCGGTCTCGGTCCCGGTCCAGGTCTCTATGCCGGTCTCTATCCCCATCTTGATCCCGATCCCGATCCCTGTCCCGATGCCCATCCCGGTCCCGGTCCCGATCCCCATCCCGGTCCCGGTCCCAGTCCCGGTCCCGGTCTCGGTCTCGGTCTCGGTCTCTATGCCGGTCTCGGTCCCGGTCTCGGTCTCGGTCTCTATGCCGGTCTCGGTCCCGGTCCCAGTCCCGGTCTCTATGCCGGTCTCTATCCCCATCTTGATCCCGATCCCTATCCCTATCCCTATCCCTGTCCCGATCCCCATCCCGGTCCCGGTCCCGGTCCCGGTCTCGGTCCCGGTCCCGGTCCCGGTCCCGGTCCCAGTCCCGGTCTCTATGCCGGTCTCTATCCCCATCTTGATCCCGATCCCGATCCCGATGCCCATCCCGGTCCCGGTCCCGATCCCGGTCTCTATGCCGGTCTCTATCCCCATCTTGATCCCGATCCCGATCCCTGTCCCGATCCCCATCCCGGTCCCGATCCCGGTCTCGGTCCCGGTCCCGGTCTCGGTCCCGGTCCCGGTCTCGGTCCCGGTCCCGGTCTCTATGCCGGTCTCTATCCCCATCTTGATCCCGATCCCTGTCCCGATGCCCATCCCGGTCCCGATCCCGGTCTCGGTCCCGATCCCGGTCCCGGTCCCAGTCCCGGTCTCTATGCCGGTCTCTATCCCCATCTTGATCCCGATCCCTATCCCTGTCCCGATCCCCATCCCGGTCCCGGTCCCGATCCCGGTCCCGGTCCCAGTCCCGGTCTCTATGCCGGTCTCTATCCCCATCTTGATCCCGATCCCTGTCCCGATGCCCATCCCGCTCCCGGTCCCGCGCAGGTGCGCACGGGCCCCGCCCCGGCCCCGCCGCCCTGCCGGCCCCGGTGCCCGCGGAAAGCCGCGCCGAGCGCCGCGCACCGGGGCCGGGTGGGGGCCCGGCGGCGGCCGAGGGGAGGGGAGGGGAGGCGGCGGAGGGCGGCGCGGTCGCCTCGCTCACCGCAGCGCGGCCCCGCCGAGCGTCATCGGCCGGGCCGGCGGCGTCACAGCGCGGCGCCGGGGCGGGGCGAGGCCTGCGCGGGCCCCGGGCCGGCAGCCGCGGCCATGGAGCCGGGCCGGCAGGCGCTGCCGCTGGAGAACGCCTCCATCCTGTCCGAGGGCGCGCTGCAGGACGGGCACCGCCTCTGGATCGGCAACCTGGACCCCAAGATCACCGAGTGAGTGAGCGCCGAGCCCCCGGCACCGCCCCGCAGCGGCGCCGCCCCGGACGGGGCCTTGTTCCCGCAGCGGGGCCGCGCCGCCCCGGGCAGGGCAGGGACCGGGAGCAGCAGCAGCGGCCGGCACCGGCCGCTGCTGCTGCTCCCGGTCCCTGCCCTGCCCGCAGCCGGCGCTGCCGCCCGAGGTTTGCCCTGTCCTTCCTGCAGACAGCACCCCCTGAAGCTCCCCTCGAGCTGGGAGCTCGAGGGCTGAAAACAGCCCTGCTCTCCAAACTAGGGAGATGTGGGACGTCTGGAGAGTTTCTGGGAATATATGGGAAGTGTAGAATGTCTGGAGAGTTTCTGTGAATATATGGGAAGTGTAGAATGTCTGGAGACTTCCAGGGGACAGTGCTGCAAACAATGGTAAAGCAAGGCACAGCCCTGGAAATTGTGCCCAGAGCGGCTGGGGTCTGTGGAGAAGCGAGGGTGGGCAGGGCAGACCTGGCAGCAGGCGTCCGTGTCAAACAGCAGCTCTGTTTTGGGGTTTTGCTGGGGGTGAGTTCAGCAGAGGAGAGCGACTGCAGCAGCGGATGGTGAGGAGGTGGGAGTGGCTGCTGAGGGGGGTAAATGCATGAATCAAACGTGTGTGTGAGCATTTCATGTTTTCTCCAGGCTATGGATAATCATCTCCTGCGCAAGCATAACAATGGAACAGCTAAATTTTCAAGGGAACATGATGTGCTGTCCAATATTTGGATAGGGTGCTGTGAAATCTCTAGGTTGTATAAAAAGGAAAGCAAACCGAAACAATTTGGGCTTTACACACTCACAACAAACAAGCATTTTTGATTAACTATTGTGTATGCCTGTCGTGGAATACTTTTTCTTCCTGGTTCTTTTTGTGTGTGTGCAGGTGCTGGGGTTTATTCTGAGTGTGGTTCATCTGAGCAGAGCGGCTCCCTAATAGCCTGTAAATGGAATCATTAATGCATTGTGATTTCAGCCATTCAGCTTCGGGAGGTTTCTGCATTAATTACCACTTCTGTCCCACAGCTCTGCCGCTGTGGTTTGTCCACATTCACTGACCACGTGAAATTAGATACAGGAATTCCTGAGTGTTTGCTGGGTCCTCAGGGATTCAGGAGCTGGCTTAGGCTGAGGGCAGGAGCGGAGGGTGCCAGTGCATTGGATCCTTCACTGCCCAGGGTGATCCTCAGTGCTGTTAAAGACCTTTTCAGTGTAGGTTGTTCATTTTAATCCTGGCCAGATAAGTAATAGGTTTACGTGGCAAAATCTTCTATTTTCATCACTTGGATGAAGTGATTTTAGTGGTTTCTCCAGGGCTCTCAAATCTACAGTGCTTCCATGCTCCTAAATGTTTAAAGTTTGCCCAGTGATGAGTGACAGTGCTTGCTGCTTATTTCAGACTTTATAATTGTCTTGCTTTTTGTTTTGCTTTAAAATGGGACTCCTCTCTTGCAAATGATGTTGTATCTCCATTTCCTTGTGAATAAAAGAAGAGGAAGCGCCTTTTAGCACAATGTCAGTGTAAAGAAAATATGTGGTTAGTAAATTTCTATAAATCATCTTGACCCTTATTCTCTCATGCTTACATCTCTAGTTCTAGTTGTTCCTCTGAATTATTCCTGTTGAGGTTGCTACTCATATGCTAAATCAAACTGCTGAAAATGAAATGTTTCTGCATTTGTTGCTTTTATCTGTTTTTTAAAGAGCTGCCTTTGTTATTTCTATTGGATTTGTTTAAGACAGAGTAAGGTTGATTGAGTCGTTGGCAGAGTTAATAAGTGGTTGTGACACTCGAGCAGAAATGAGATCAGAAAGTCTTGAATCAATCCAAGACTTCCATTTAAAGAGCAAACTAGAGCTGCAGTCAAGTGCTGGGGAGTTAATAGGTAATGTACACATTGGAGCACAAGCTGCAGGAACAGCATTTATAAATGTAGGGCTGCCCACAAATTACAGCCTGGGAGCTGATGCTTTTGGGAGGGTGTTGCACACACCGAGTGACTGTGACTCAGCTGGGGGTGCTGACATGCCCTGGGCACTGGGTTATGGTGGCTCTTCAGCTGGGCATTCCTCCCTGCTGATGGTGGTTGTGGGTGACTTCTTCTGTCCAGCACCCTTAAAACTTTGCCTGTGGGAGCAGGTGGTGTTGGGAGTCTCCTGAGTGTGTTCTCAGCAGCTGGAAGGAGGACAGCTGGCACCAGGGGTCCTCACAGCTGCTGGTGACAGAGGATGGTGTCTCCAGGCGCTCTGGAAGCCGTGAGATCCCTGCCATGGGGTCTGCATGAGGATGGCAGCAGGTGGTTCCTCGTGGTTTGGTGTCACCAGCATCATTTGTGCCCAGCTGCACGGCAGGGCAGGGCGTGTGCTGTGGCTCAGCTCTGTGCTCTCATCACCCCTCAGTGCTCCCACCCTGTGGGGCAAAGCCCTAGTTCAGTTCTGTCTCTGTGTGGCAGGTGGGCTAGAATTGCCTCCTCTGCCCGTTCTGTTCCTAAAGCTGCCTGAGACTTCCCAGCGCTTTGGCCAGGCACAGATTTTGTTTTCAGCTCTTTGGTTCACATGATCTGGTTTCCCGTAGCCTTTCAATGCCCATTCATTCTCCACGGGTATGGAGTGGCGGGTGTAGAACTTCCTCAGCTGCCGTGCTGCTTGTCGAGGATCCCATCTCGATGAGTGTCACCTAGAAAACAATGCGTGCACAAGCTGTTGTCACAGCCCCCCGCTGGCAGATCCCAGTGGGGCAGAATTCCTCGCAATAATAGGTTTTGCATGTGGCCCGGTCCCCGCGCGGGGTCCTTGGGACAGCATTGTTCAGAGGAAGCCTTGCCTGCGTCTGAATAGCGCTCGGGGTGCCAGGAGGAAGAGAGGAGGAAAAGGAAATGGGGGAGCTGCAGGTTTGTCTCGCATCCACATCAGATGACAGGAAGGGGAGATGGAGGGTGGCCACAGCGCGGTGGGGCCGCAGCAGTGCCAACGACTTCCAAGCTCTGGATGACCCACGTTGTTGCCATAGTAAAGCTTTTTACATCTTCTCACCTCTTTGTTTTTTTTTTTTTTTTCAAATAAGGCTTCAAGTTTTCCATGACAGTCTTCTTCTTCCGTACCTCTTGGCCTGAAGAATTACTTGTCAAGTTACTGTTAATGCCCTCAGTATTTTAACAATAACAAACTGTAATCACAGCTAAAACATTAATTATACAGGATTTCTGAGCTGCTCCACGGAGAGGAGGTGACCTGCAGTTGTAAAATTGCAGGCACAGTTGGAGAAAGGGTTCTAAACAAAATAGATTACGTAAGTTACTAATATACTGTCGATGAAAATTGGTTTAAAGGAGGAACTATCACCTCACTGCTAAGAAGGTTTTATTTGAATGCAGATGCTCTCAGGAAAAAAAAATAGAAAAACACCCCCAAGGAGTTCCTTTTGGCAAGGCAGCCACAGGGTTTTTTAGTGCAGAATTCAGGGAGAATCCTTCTTGCCCTTCCCCTGCCTCTGTAATGGCCAGAAGGGGAACAGCATCCTGGTGGTAAGGACTTCATTTCCATACTGCTGGAATTCCGAGGGCTTTATGGAGCAGATTGTTTACAGAAACAAACCTGAGGTGCGTTTACATATTTTGGAGGCTCTGGAAGTCCAACATGTGGAGTTTTTTATACATCACATCTCCAAAGTCAGTGTTTTTACTTGTACATCTGTGTCTGCTTTTTGGAAGTGTGAAGGTGGTGAAATTTGGCTACTGTGTAATCAGCTCCTTTTCTTTGCCCTGCTCTTTCCAGTTCCCCTTGCTTTCAGAGCACTTTGAGAGCTCATAGGTATTCCAGAGGATGTAGGAAGCCTTCCATAATCAATGACAATGTGTGTGTTCCCCTGGGGGATAACTTGGCCCTTCTGCACTGCTCGTCTGTACACACGCTGCACCTTCACCTCTTTAAAAGTGCACATCCTGAATGTCCACTGTGACCCACCCTGTGGGATGACTCACATTCCTGGAACTTTCTTGCCTGGCTTCTGGAGCCTAACAAAGGGCTAAAGCTCTTTTCAGACATCCTATCAGGCTTTATTAGGAAAAATGTTTTCTGCCCTTCCCATCTGGACAGTGCTTGTAGTTGCCTCGTGCACTTGGCCGTTCATGTCTGGACATGGGAGGTTTCCTCTGGTGCCTTGGGTTGTCCTGGGAGGTTCTCTGAGCACTGAGTGTTACCTTAAACACTCAAAATTGGGGTTAGACTGCGTGGTTTGCTAACAAACACTATACAGCTTCTCAGGAGATGAGTCCTGACTAAGACACCCTTATCAAACACTTAAATAATTCTTCAATGTCAGGGATGGGGTCAGGCAGTGAAGGAGCAATAAGTGTCACTTTTCTCCTGGGTCAGCCAGTGTTGTTAAACACTTCAATCCCAGGGAACCGAAAAAAGCTGCAGAGAACTTTCAGGATTAGATGTGGCCTGTACAGCATGTGTGCTCCTTGTTTTAAGTTGCTCAATGCGCCAGATACTAAGCAGACAGATTTACTCTGGCTTTCCCCAGTTTTATTGGAAACAGCACACTCCCCACTGGATGGCAGGAAGATAATTGGCTACAAAAGTGTCTGACTTCCATGAGCATGTCACTGAAAAGCTGTCTGAGCCAGAAGCACTGGCAGATTTAGGCTGGATGATACTGAGGGCTGGCTGGTGCCTTTTTTTTTTTTTTTTTGTTGAGACCTCCTGGCAATTCCTTGTTGCAGGTTGTTCTGTTTATTCTTCTGTCTTTCTGTACCCTCATCTTTTCCAGCCACATGCCTGTGTGCCCTGGGGTGCCCTTGGCCAGAGCACTGACACGGTTGGCACAGGGCAGGGGTGGGTTTGTTCTGGGAGAGGGAGGGCAGCAGGAGCAGGGTCCTGAGGGATGCAGGTGCTGTGGGCTCAGAGTGCTTGTGCTGGGACAGGAGTACAGGGGATGGAGCTTCAGGTGGTCACATCAAGGCTAGAGAGGGGAAGACAGGAGGGTTATACTTAAAAGTAGGAGTTATTTAGTGAGGCAGAAGGCAAAGCCCTCCCAACCCCTTGGGAGCCATTGCATAATTGTCCAAAAGGCAGCTATTAATAGATCTCTGTGCCCTTCAGCTGGCACTGCAGGGAGGGAACTTTGTGCCTTGGGCTTTTGGGAAGTCACTGGTAATGCTGCTCAGAGCTGTGGATGCTGGAGGGGTGCTGCCCAGGGCACCCACCTCTGCAGGGATTTGGGAATGTGTGTGTGACACAGCTGAGTGTGAGCTCTGTGTGTGTCAGGGGTTCCTCTCTTATCTCCTCACTGTCAGTGGGATGAGACATGTCATAAATGTTTTCTCTTCCCTTCAGATATCACCTCCTCAAGCTCCTTCAGAAGTTTGGCAAAGTAAAGCAATTTGACTTCCTCTTCCACAAGTCTGGTGCTCTGGAAGGGCAGCCCAGGGGTTACTGTTTTGTCAACTTTGAAACCAAACAGGTAAGTTGCTTTTTATCTAAAGTTCTGATAAAAATGACTGACTTCTGTCCCATTTTACAGGAAAACTTAAATTCAGTACTCTGTCTACACAAACTCACAGATTCTAACAGCTCTTCTCTGTTACAGCCACTTTGTGACTGCTCCTGGAAGTAGCAATAGTGATTTTCTTTTTCCTCTGCTGTCTTCGCCTGACTCCTGCTTTTTAATGCTCTAAAGGGCCAGTTCTTCGGTCCGTTTTGCAGCTGGTGATAAAGATATCAGAAGAGCCCTAACACTGTGCATCTAGGAAATCATTCCCAGCAAGGTGAAGCAGCAAGGCAGATAAAGTCTGGTTACTGGGAGTCTTTCCAAGGTGTCCCTGGATTGGGATACAGTGGGGTAGACTTTCTGTGCTGTCAGTGAGCTGACAAATAACAAAGAAAAAAGGGCTCTTTCCATGTCAGTGGGTTTTGACTATAGGCTTGGTTTGTTTATGGAGCTGTCTTCCTGTGCAGGAAGCAGAGAAGGCGATCCAGTGTCTCAATGGGAAGCTGGCCCTGTCCAAGAAGCTGGTGGTGCGGTGGGCACACGCACAAGTCAAGGTAAGCTGGCTCTGCAAGGAAGATTTGCTTTTAGTTTGCAAAACTGAAAAGCTTTAATAATAAAGCCTTTTTATCAAGGCAGTCTTGGCCTGGCGAAATAATTTCAGTCTGTTCTAGGAAATAACTTGGAGAGTTGATGTTTACAGTCTGCAGCTTCTGCTGTCTGCCCAAGATGGGCTGGATTAGCTGTGAGTGAGGACAGGCCCTTTAACCTGGGGTTCTTTGGGAGGGGGTTTCTGCTCAGAGCAGTGTGAACAGATTACTTCTATAAATGCCCATGTTTTAACTTTACCCAAACTTAGTGAGTAATTGGCTGGAAGTTTGAATCCTTCCCTTTGTGGTTTTTTTGCATAGGAGAGGTATGGAAATTCCCAATTACCGGTTACTGTGTTACTTGGTTCCACTTCTGAAAGCACTTATGTGGCAGCAGCTCTAATTAGTTTTGACTTTAAAGTAACATACTCTGCATCTAAGCTAAATATCCTTTTATTCCTTGCTCCGTCACATAAACAATCAAGTTTTTAAGATTGACTTAGGCAGCTCCTTCTGGAACATCCTTATTTTCATTTTTTAAAATTCTTGTCTTGTTTCTCCTACAGTTATTTACTATCTTGTATTTGATAAAGCAATTTATTTTCAATAACTTCTTTTGCAGATAAACAGATTTAGGGGGAGGCAGAGAGGCCTGTGGCTATTTTCCTTTGTGTAGTTTTCTTTCAGTTGATTATCCTTCCAGCAGCTCTCTGCTTTGTCTTATCAAGTATAGTAGTGTTTCTGATGCTTAAAAACCCCAAGCAGGTATCTTTGTTAAAGGAGACCACATTGTTTCAGTTACTGACTTCCAGGGCTCTTGCCAGCACAGCCAAGGTTGTGCAAAGCCAGTCTCCATTTTCTGTATCTGTGGAGCTGCTGGAGTGCCACGTGCTTCCGGATGCCTGAGGAATGATCAGGCCACGAAAGGAGTCTGAGCTGGAGGAGTGAGTGTCTGCCCAGCTGCTCGGGGTCTGGGGAGGAACGTGCATAAATAATCACCTCGCTTCACGTGGCATTTTCCAATCCCTGAATGGAAAGACCTAACAGCGCAAAACTTTGTCTTATTGTAACAAGGGTTTGTTGTAGACAAGAGCAGCACGGTGCTGAGCAGCTCTGAGATGAGTGGCCAGGGCTCACCAGACACTGTCGGTTTGAGCAGCTCTGCTGAAAAACAAACCTGACTCTGTGCCAAGCGAAATAAGGAAGCAGAACACTGCAAATAGTTCAGGAGGCCCATTGCCCACAGAGATGACAGACTCATAAGCTGCCTTCTACAGAAAGGAGGGGGTTCCCAACTGATTTTTTTTCCCTTTTTTTCCCCATCTTGTCTGCCAGGACTGCCCAATAGCAGTTGTGTGCTTGGGTTACCTTCTGGCTCTGCACATAAAGAGCACAGCAAACAGTGCAGTAGTTACCTTCAAATTTACCATCTGTGCTTCCTGCCTTATGTAGAGGGGAACAAGAAGTGACAGGATAAGGTTTAAGGATCCACAGTACAATGCACGTAACTGTTCGGTATCCAGCCTGCATTCCATGTTGGTACTAAGCAAATATTGTGGTTGGGATTTGTTTCAGTGTTTGGCCACCAAAATCTTTCCTAGCAAAAGCTCCACAAAACCTGAGGCGATGTTAATCCAGCTTTAAAGTCCATCTGTGGGAAATGTTCCTTTGTTCCTGATTGCAGCTGACTCAATCCTTGGTCTCTTGCTTGCAGAGATATGATCACAATAAAAATGAGAAGATCCTTCCAATCAGTCTGGAGCCATCTTCCAGCACGGAGCCACCCCAGTCCAACCTAAGGTAGGAGGTGGGTTGGGTGAGAGGTGACCCTGCTGTGGGACTGGCAGGGGATCAACTTCTTCCATTTAGAGTTATTGGCATTGTTCGTGTTAAAAATCTAGCACGGCAAAAAGCTGTTTTTGAAAGGGCAGTGCTTGTGAAGTCGCTCACTTGATGTGGGACACTTCAGACTGGAAGTTTATTTTCCAACACGCAAAGCCAGTGGGTTGTGGGAAGGGTACGAGGTGAGGTGGGGCACTCCAGCTCCTTTGGCCAGAATCTCTGCACTTCATGTGAATTGGGTTTTTACTGGACTAATTTGGTTCAGCAAAATGCTCATGAGCAAGAAGTTCCACAATAGTGGCAGAAGATTAAAACAAAGTCACAGGTAGAACTTCACACAGAACTTTTTTGCCAGTGTTTTTTTGCCTGTAGATCTTGTCTGTGGGATGTGGTTAAATTCTCCAACCACTGCATTTACCTAAAGCACATAGCTGCTTTGCTAATTCTCAGTTTGTTTGTGTGGTTTTCCTCTGTCTCCTGTCAGTGGAACCCTGTGAGGAACCAGCACCAGATTAATGCACTTGCCCAGAGATAAAATGAGCTTGCAATTCAGAAGGAACAGGCTAGGAGGGAAAGAGCAGAGGGGTTTGAGTCATGCAGATTGTTCACTGCATCAGTGGCACACAGGGGTTGTTCTAGTGAGGATGGATGGTGCAAGAATCCCCACAGTGGGGAAGGGAACATTCCTCCCAGTCCATATCCAACGGAGGATAGCGAATAACAAAGTCCTAGGAATTTGGGGTGTAACCTAGGATAGCTTCTCCCTTTGGGATAAACCCTGCTAATGCTGAAATAATGTTTCTTCCTGACCTAATTAGAGTCTGGGGTTTTCCCATCCCGAGCAGGCTGTAGCTGGGAGGAAGTCTGGCTTTCATTTCTCTGCTGTTCCCAGCAGCCTGCTCTGAGCTCTGCTCTGCTGCACATGCTCAGACCTCCTGAAATGACATCATTTCACATGAAGTAGGAAGCCTTGCCGTGTTCTTGTCTCACTCAGGGTCCTCAAGAAAGCACTGAATAGGTGCAGGGGCCATTGTTTTGGGGTGCTGAGGTGTCTCTTGGAGAAGCAAACCAGTGCAGAGGTTGAAATGCATCGGTGTGGGCTCTGGGCAGTGCATTCCTGCCTCGCTGTGGATGCAGCAGTGGGGGCTGCCTGGCCCCTCCTTGTGCAGGGAGGATTCTCATGTCAGCAGAATCTCTGGATTTCTGTAGTTGGGCTTCATGCTAAGATCAAGCTCAATTTCCCTTCTGCTTTTTCTCTTTCCAGTGTCAGTGCAAAAATCAAGGCCATTGAAGCCAAGCTGAAAATGATGGCAGAAAATCCAGACGCAGAATATCCTTCAGCACCTGTTTATTCTTACTTCAAACCACCAGATAAGAAAAGGACTACTCCTTACTCCAGAGCTGCCTGGAAATCCAGAAGATGATGCTTATGAATGGATGATGGTAGCAAGAAACACTGCTTTGTATACCTGGAGTCCTCCAATGCTTTTGTACTTTTGTAGAGTGGGAAGGACAATGCCACCTGAGCAGGGCACGGCCAGCACAGCCTTCTGTCACACCTGAGGGTCTGCAGCTCCTGCCTGTGCAGCTCACAGCTGAAGGCTGTTCAGAGAAAGAGGTTCCCTTGAAAGCCTCTGATGAACACACAGGCAACCTCTCGTTAGTGTGCATTCATTAGCCAGATTAGAAACAGTAACCAGCGTTCGGAGTAAAGCACATCCAAAAATACTCCATTTAACTGATTACTTTTTAAAGTATTTTTGAACAAAATGTATTCCAATTCATGTTTTAATGGAAGGGGAAGCACTTGGTTTTGATTAACATTCTGTAGTTATAATGGAAAAACTTTTTCATCTCAATAAAACTAATTTGAAATAGATCTTGCAACACCTTTAGTAACTGTGCATGTGATATTTTATATGCACCAAGGCAAATTGATTTTGCATTTTGATTTGCACACTCCACAATGTTACTTTATGACATGGTAATGACACAGCACAGGTATTTTCAGTGTCATTTAGGCTGTAGGTGTGTGCCTGCATGTAGGAATTGGTGTACTTACAACCCACTGAGGTCTGTGCTGTGCCCTGAGCTTTGGCATTTGTGTTCAGTGATCCCTGATGGTGGCAGCTCCTCATGAGCCAGGTGTGGCAGTGTGGGAGTAACTGCAGCCTCTGAGACATCTGCAAGCCATGAATTTGGTGTTTGCTCCCTGTCCTGCCCAGCTTTGGTTTCCATGGACTGGCAAAGGTGGTCAGCTGCCTCTGGTGTAAGGTGGTACCAGTGTTCCTGGTGAGCTGGGACTGTCCCAAGGGCCAAATCCACAGATCTGATGGAAGGCATTGCTCTGAAGCATCAGCACATTTTCCCTCTAAATGTCTGCAAAATAGAAATCTAAGGAACACACATTTTCTGGCAGCATTTTTCTCCTTTGTGCACACAGTGCTGTGGCTGCATGTGCCAGGAGGATGTCAGAGATCTCGTCCTGGTGACACTGGTCTGATCTTGCCTCCCCTGTCCTGTCAGACCTCATCGGTCACTCTTGAGCTGCTCCCCCCAAGCTGGTTAATGGTGGTCTCTAGCAGGAGGAGAAAAACAATTTGGGAAGAGCCCCAGTTCGTGCAGGCAGGAGTGGCTCAGTGGCACAGCCCAGGGAGGTTTGTATTCCTGCAGCAGCAGCTCACCTCCCTCCAGGCAGAGCTGGCTTCCTGCTGCCAAACCCAGCACCTGGAACGAGCCGTGCCTGTCTGTGGCAGAGGATTGTTGAAAGCCTCAATTGTTCTAAAGTAGGTCTTGTACTGTTAATGTTTGTTTCCTAGTTTTGGGTACCTGAGTAGAGGGAAAAGTAGTATTCTTGGGAGTTCGTACCCCTCTAAATGTCAGTGACACCCGTTTGCATTCCTCTGTGAACAGCCTGTGTTTGTTGCTGCGTGCTCTAACATTTGTAGCTTTCCGGGTCTGTATCTGTGTTGTTTAGAACAGCTCTGAATTCTGTTCCCATTAGGAAGATACCTGAAGATACCTGGCTTCAAATGGGTGTGTGGCTGTGCTCCCATCAGAAATATCCTTTGATATTTATTTGTATTTAAATACAATTTGTTGAAATTCTTACAGCTCTAAATAAACATTTAAAATGCATGTTTTCCTCCAGGAAAGCCGAGGGTGGCAAGCAGGAAGTGAGTGAGGGTGGTAAATGCTTGGCACCAGGCGAAGTCCACTGACAGAACCCGGGTACAATAGCATCAGTCTTTTTTTTTTTAAATTATTTCTTTGCACTGCCGTGGTGGCTAACAGAAGTGCCTTGTGTGTCGCTCGGCCGGGCTCAGACCTGGGGGAGCTTTACTGCAGGTCGCTGCTTGTGGTCATTCCTGCTGCCGCCGGCCTGGCAGGCGCGGGTGCTGCCCGCGCTTCCCGGGAACGCTGCGGCTTCCCGACAGCGCAGTGAGCCCAGACTTCCTCACCCTGGAGCTGGGAGGAGGGAGATGCTCAGAAACGTTTGTTTTTTCATGAGCATCAACCCTGGGACTTTGCATAAGACCGTGGTAAAAGAGATTTGAAGAGCGCCGGGGAGCGCGGCATCGCTACGGCCGGCGCCAGAGCCGTGAGTAGGGAGGGTGGCAGCTGGTGGTGGGAAGCAGAGCTGGGCTTGGTGCCTGGCTCCTGTGGGGAGGAATTGGGCTGTTTCTCACCTCTCCTGTCCTCTGAGGTGGTTCCTTGCTTCCCCTGTATTTCCAGCAAATCCATGGGAGCAAGGTGGGTTACTGAGGGCAGTGTTCACCATGGCCACGCTGTGGGTTTTCCCTTGGTATTTGAACCATCCTGCCTGTGGTGGACAGTCCCTCACTTGGGACAGGCGTGGAATCTTCACTCTGGGAGCACAGAACATTCCCAACCCCAAACTCTGGGATTCTGGCCGAGCTGCTGCTTGACACACTGCCACCTTGTTGCCTTTTACAAACTCCAGGGCTGGTGGAGGGAGCACACCAGGGTAAGAACAGGGATGGACTCAGGGCTGATACCTGTTAGCTCCAGTGCTTTGCATTCCCCAGTCACTGCCCAGGCCCTGTTCCTGGTGCAAGATGCACGTGTGAGATCTGTCTGCTCTCAGCAGGCAGTGCGAGCAGGCCATGGACCCTGCAGAGCCAGGACTTGCTCCCAGGGATGGAGAAGGGCAGGAGCTGGGATGGAATCACTCCATTCCTGAGCCTGCTCTGGCTTTGCAGGGTCTGGAGAGCTGCGTCTGTGATCATGAGAGCAGTGCAAGCATCTGCTTGGCTGCGTGGTGCTGGCCCGTGGTGCTGAGCCATGGCTGCCAAGCCCAGCATTGCTGTGGGGATGCAAATAAACCCCACGCTGCCCTGCCTCGGCCAGTGCTGCGTAGGGGGACAGACAGCTTTCGTGGCTGCGCCCATGAAAACTCCTACGTGTTTCTTCTGGAGCAGCCAGAGCTAATTCAGACCCCACCACTGAGAGCGGAGGGTTTAAATTGTCCTTTCTCGGCATCTCGCCTCTGCACTTGCCCGTGTACCCCCGCACTCGGCCTCTGTGGAGCTGGGGACAGGGGAGGACAAGCTGGCAGGCCTCGGGTTCCGTTTCCTGGGGGTTTTCTCGGGCTTTCCTGCAACCTCGATGTTTAAACCTAATGCCTTGTATTTATTCTAAAATGGCTTTCATCTGATTTCCCTCTCGGTTAACAATTTAGCTGTCACAATCAATAACGGCGAGGATCCATCCCCGGCCGCCATCAGCTCACGTTACCGTCCTGCAATTACCCGGCGGTGGCACCGCTGCCGGGGCTTTGCTGGGGAATTATCAGGTTACTAATGAAGCCCGGGCAGCGGCGGGCGGCCAGACGCCGCGGCGGTGGGCGCGATCGCCGCTGCCGCGATCGGAGGGGGGCTGCGGGGCCGGCCCGGCCCGTGCGCCCCGTCGGGGCGGGCAGCGGCGGGGGAGGACCGGGACGAGCCGGACCGCGCTGCCCCCTCCGCGCCGCGCCCGCGGGCGGTGCCGCCGCCGGTGCCGCCGCCGCAGGTAGCGGGGCCCGGCGGGGCGGGCGGCCCCCGGGGCGCGGCGGGGGGGCGCCGTTTCCTGCCCGGCCCGCGGCCGCCCCCGGCGGGGGAGCGGGGCCGGCGCGGTTCCCCGCCCGGCTCCCCGCCCTTCCTGCCGCGGCCGCGGGACGCGCCGCCCGCGGGCACGGAGCGCGGCGGCGGCGGGCGGAGCGGGGCGCGCCCGCCCCATGCACCGGAGCCATGGGGGCGGGCAGCCCCGGGGCCCTGGCCGCCGCGCCCCGGCCGGCGCCCAGGCGGGCAAGGTGAGCGCCGCCGCCGCCGCCGCTGCCGTCGGGGCCGGGAGCGGGGCTGGAGCGGGGCCGGGCTCCCCGCGGCGGCCGGTACCGGGGCTGGGGCCGGGCCGGGGCCGGGGCCGCTCGCTGCCTTCCGCGCCAGAGGGGTGGATTTTTCCATCCCGGCGTTTTCTGGGGCGTTTTGTGCTCGGCGGAGGGAGAGGGGGAAGAATTTCGATTTTTAATTACTACCATTAAAAAAATCAAATTTGCAATTCTTTGGGTGGCCTGATGGATTCCCTGATTGACAGCCGGAATTGACACTCTGGTACCTCTTATCTCGGGCATTTACGGCAATTTCTAATTGCAGGTAGTTTGGGGGGTTTTTCAGCGCCTTGGCTCGCATGGGAACCGAGCGATTACTTCAAGAGGCCCGGGTTAAGTGCAGGCAGGGGGAGAATTCAATCCACATTCAAATTGCTTCATTAAAGAGACGCAGCTTTTGTTGCAAAGGATTTAAATGGCCACTAGAAAGTTCTTATTTATTGTTTTGAGGCGGTTTATATAGAGTGCCCCGCGCTCGCCCGGCGCATGGAGCCGCAGCCTCCCTCTCCCGCTCTCTCCATCAAGGTGATGCCGCCGGAGCCGCTGCCCAAGGGGAGCGCCCGCTGTCTGGACCCGCACTCCCGCGCCATGGTAAGCGGGGCCGGGGGTTGCGGGTTCCAGCCGGGACCCGCCGGGCCGGGGATGCGGGGCCGCACTGGGCCGGGGTGCCGGGAGCTGTGGGGACCCGCCGGGATCCGCTGGGCCGGGGGCTGTGCGGACGCGGGACCGGGGATTACGGGGTCCCGCCGGGGATGTCAGGGCTTCGTGCGTACCCGCCGGGCCGGGGATGCCGAGGACTGCGGGGACCCGGCGGGACGCTGCGCTTCGGTGCTGCGGGGAACGGCGGGGCCCCGGCTGACGGCCCCGCGGCGGCTCTGCCCGCAGTCGCAGCCCGACGGGGAGCCTCTGCCTGGAGCCCTGGAGAAGGAGGACGCCCGCTCAGCGCCCAGCACCCCTTCCACGCCGTCCGTCTGCTCCCCGCCATCCTCCTCCTCCTCCACGCCGTCGGCCGGCAAAAACGTCTGCTCCAGCTGCGGGCTGGAGATCCTCGACCGGTACCTGCTGAAGGTGAGCGGGGCGGAGGGCGGCGGGGGCGGCGGGGGCGGCGGGGGCGGCGGGTGGTCCCGGGTCTCAGCCCCTTCTCTGCCGCAGGTGAACAACCTCATCTGGCACGTCCGGTGCCTGGAGTGCTCCGTGTGCCGCACCTCGCTGCGCCAGCAGCACAGCTGCTACATCAAGAACAAGGAGATCTTCTGCAAGATGGACTACTTCAGGTAGGGACCGGGCCGGGGCCGCTCCGGGGGGCTCGGCCCTCGCCGGCCGCCGCGGGGTCGGGGCCGCTCGGGCGCTGCCGTGGGGAAGGTTTGGAAAGCCCGCCGGGCTCTCTGGAGCAGCGGGTGGGAGACGACCCTCGGGAAACGAGGAGAAAGGAAGGAAGGGAGTTTGGGGTGCGACTGCACAACCGCTCAGAGGGATTCCTGCCCTCTGACCGGGCTGTGCGGGCCGCCCCGAGCCCCTGCTCCCCCGGCTCGGCGGCGACAGCGCCCGGCTCCGGGGGTGCGGCGTGGCGGGGATGGCCCCGCGGCGGGGAAACGGGGCTCGAACGGCCTCGTCCCGGCTCCTGCCGGAGAGTAAAAAGGTGCTGCCAGCCTGCGGTGCCCGGCGGCTTTCGGGGAGCCCCTGTCAGCGCTGTGGGCCCGCAATGGCCGGAGCGTCCGCGGCGGGAGCGCGTTACGGAACGGAAACGAGCGACCGGCGGCAGCTGCGGCCGGCCGGGGCTCGGCGGCGGCCCGGGGCTCGGTCCGGACCCGCACACGCGGGACAGCCTGTCCCGCAGACAGAATGTTCTGGCTTCGAAAGGCTTTCTGTTCTAAACCTTAAACCACTAATTTTCCCCCAGTTTGACTCGCGCGAGGGACCGAGTATTCTGAGCTCGTCGCCGGGGTTTAACTAAACATTGGAAGCCCCGCTCTGACTTTCCCCATCCTACCAGGATGAGGGAATGCTGTTTGACCCGGGAGGAAGGGGAATGGCGGGCAGGAAATGGGAATGACCCCGGCGGGGCGCGGGGGGCTCGGAGCATCCTCCGGCCGCCGCAGAGCTCGGGGTTGCCCCGACGACAGCGCGCAGGGGAGTTCGGGGGGCACCTCAGAGATTCCTCCGGTGTTTTTTATCAAAGGGTCTGCGATTGCCCGATTTCCTGCAGCTCAGCCCCTGCCCCGCCGGGCTCGGTGCGGTGCCGCCGGGAGTGCGGGGCTCGCGGAGGCGGGTGCGGGGCTCGGAGAATCGGGTCAGTCCCGAGGCTGCGGTGCTCTGCGTCCTGCCCTGTTATGGTTTTTTGTTGTTGTTGTTACTATTATTATTGGTTTTGTTGTTATTATTTTCAAACCGTAATTTTCGGTGATTTCAGCGAAATTTTCCCCACTCAACTCAGAAAGGCACAAGGGGGTCCCGGGGCCGCGGTGCTGTTTTGGAGCACTTGGAGCGTTTTCATTCATCACCGTTCTGGTGCCGTTGATGTTTAGTTTCCTTTTGATTTGTTTTTAAGAGCGTACCTTTCCATAGGCGGTTTTAAAGTAGCGCCAGGATCTCGAAATGACCTTTCAGCAAATATGGCAAATAACAATGTTAAAATAAATCTGTTTCGCGACCCCCAGTCCAAGAAGCTCCGACCCCCCTCCCCGCTGGGAGCAGCCAGGCTCTGCCCGCCGGCACCGGCGGGGCCAAGGGAAATAAAACGAAAATCGCGGAA